AAGGCCGTCTCTGGGAATTCCATCCTGAAATGATCCAACTGAGACGAGCCCCTCAGATGTGCTGATAGAATTCACTGGATGGTATTGAGGGAAAAACATTCTAGTGATAGACGATGTATTGAAATTCCACTCACAATGAGTTGAGCTCCACCAAAGGGAAGCTCGCCTCGCGGCAAATAATACGGTACACAGCTCATACTCTCCATTCCACCAGCGATTACCAACTGAAAAATCGACGAATTAGTGGTCCCATTTCGAGTCACAAATCAATTTTGAATTGCAAAATTATTTCCTCGCACAGTCGTGTTTTCTTCAGTATTAGGAAGGTATCTTCTTGCTACGAATTCAGAATCGATGAGACTCAAATGAGCTCAGGGCAAAACTCACATCGTGATAGCCCAATTGGAGCAACGATGACGCACACGCGATTGCCTTCATTCCAGACGCACACATTTTGTTTAAGGCCGTCACAATTGTGCTGACCTTGCATCCTGGAATGCACAATATCAATGAACAGTTCTCGAGATATCGCTGGAATCTCAAGATCACATTCGAGCCGGCAAATTTCATCCTTACAGATTCGCTTGTCCCCTTCCCTTCATAGAAAAGTGCCAACCTGCTCCTAATACGACTTGTCGAGCCGGTCCTTGTCCTGCGTTCGATGGTACCACACAGCCAATGAAAGCCTAGAATTGGAAGGGTGTACTCTTCGATCGTTTGATAATCACCGATGACATTCCATAAGGAATTCGATGGAATTATTTCAATTTATTCCAATTGAAGATGTCAGAAGTTGACTTCTTATGAATGCAAGATTCTTTCTTTTTCGAATCTCTTAAGACGAGCGTGATTTTTACCTCTTGAACCATTTTCGGATCGACGTTTGCATCTTTTAGAGCACCTTTCAGGGCTTCCGCTCCTAAAGTGGTGACTGGTGTATCCTTGAATACAGAACGGAATGATCCCAGTGGAGTTCTTGCTGCTCCAACGAAAACCACCTCCTGAAAATGCTTCGACTTGCGCCTCTAAGCGGTTAAAATTCATATCTTATCCAGACATTTGATAACTCTGAACTAATCATCAATTCTAAATGAAAATTGCTCATCGATCAGTAACAGAAACTGCTCCAAGACCCTACAAATTCACTGCTCAAATCTATCTCATTCAAAACTGAATTTCTTCTCAAATATTTTCACTCAGGTTTTCGTCATATGTTGCAATTTAGAGGGTGCACTTTCTGTCGTCACCAAACTTGTTTTAGGCACTCGTGAGCAAACAAAAAGCGATTCCATTTATTTCTCAACAATATTTCAGGTTGTAAGAGTAATGTGATCAATGATTTCTATTGAAACGAATCATTCCGTTGATCACATCAAACGTGACTGATATTGATTGATAACGTAGCGGAACGATGAACAATGATCAATGAAAATATTTATCAGTAGATTCAACCAGCAAGCACTGAGCAATTTCAAGCAATATATTGTTTTGAATTTCGCTAAAGATTAGGCGAATTCTTGATGTTTTTCTCGAATTTCTGCGAACGCTTCGATACTTTCGAGACAACATACAGTGATTGCTCTAGGAGAAGCAGCCGCGGATGACAGGCATCGTTTGATGATCGCATTCATCACCAATTGCGATAGAACCACTGTGTTCCTTAAAACAGTTCTGCTCATGCAAGTGAACTGAACAGAACTGAGTTTGCAAACCTCAGAATAATCAAAATCTGGCAAAATCACCCGAAACGTTGTAAGTTTTAAGCAAATGACATTGATCATAATTTCACAAATAATTCGATTAACTACTGGCTCGCTTAAACATGTAGAAAATACTTTCATTCAACTGATATACTGCAGAAAATTTCTTCATTTCACGTCATTTCGGTTGGGAAGAAATTCGATCGAATGTTCAGCATTCAATTGGCAGCGCAACGTGGTTACTAGGCAAATTTCTATGGACACACTCTTCAATTCTACGCTTTTCGTGGAATGCGATAATGGGTATTGCAGTGAACTGATAATAGTAATGTTAGTCTTCACCGCACTGCCATATCATCAACAAACAATTTCATGAATGTGGTTGCGCTATC